AAGCACTGTCATGTAGGACTTTTTGCAATATTTTCCGTCAAGATTCACAGACGCGGCTGTTTGTAAAGGACCGCGCACACACACACACACACACACACACACACATCGTGAAGTGTATTATTACTTATTTGTGTCAAATATTTGTCACGAAGGCATGAATGAAATGTTCATGAGTTAAAGTGAAACTGCCAAACTGCAGTAGTCTGACGGCACACCGGTCAGGTATGCATCTGCTAAAATATCAAGGTGAAAGTCACCATAGCTTGCGTAGAATAGACCCAGCTCCCTATATATATATATATATATATATATATATATATATATATATATATATATATATATATATATATATGTATTGGGTAGGATTAGGAATGTATAAAACCGAACATAATAAATAAACTGCAAAAATCTTAAATATTTGCATAGATACACCAATTTGCATGTATACACCACGTGCACAGAAGGGGCGTGGCCAGAGGCGCTGTAATGTTATCACAGAGAAGCTTTTTGGTGAAGTAGAGCCAATCCGCGAATCACAGCACATTATGTTAGCTGACCAATCAGAGCCTCTTGAGGACGGGCTTTTGGAGGATGGCCGTTTTCATGTTAGATGAGTAGCAGTATATAATTAAAGTAAGATATATGAAAAAATAAATATATGAAAAAATAATGTGATTTTTTTTTTATTATTTATTTTTTACAAATGAAGAATGAGCACACATTGCTTTGCTTCTTATAAACACAACCTAGCCTTAAAAATACACCACTTTAATACTTCTAGAATTAAAAAGAGTACCCCAAAAATAACTGAAGCCACAAAAATTAGAGGTTTCATTAAATGGCATATCATATTTTAGGCTGATGCATTTTCAGTGGACATCTCTAATTTCAACACATTTCCTATCATTTTTAACACAGATTCCCATTGTTGCACATTTCTGTTGTGAGATTGGCTCATAGATTAATATTAAGTAAAAAAGTCCAGAGCTTATCATTGTTATTGACAAATTTTATCGCGACTCAATATAATATCGTTTATTGGCTCAGCCCTATAATAAACCAATAACTAATAATGAGAATTAGTTCTTAAAGGGATAGTTCACCCAAGAATGAAGAATAGACTCAATATTTACTCACCCTCAAGTGGTTATAAACCTTTATGAGTTTCTCTATTCTGTAGAACACAAAAGAAGACATTTTGAAAAATGCTGGAAATCTATAACCACAGACGTCCATAATAAAAAAACAAATAAAAGTCAATGGTTTTCAGCATTTTTCAAAATATCTCCTTTTGTGTTCAACAAAAAAAAGAAAGAAAGAAAGAAAGAAAGAAACTCAAACAGATTTGTTAAAAATAAAGTTTATAAATGATCAAATAATAGGTTTTGGATGAACTATCCATTTAAACTAAAAAGTTACCATTATTTTATTTAAAATGTGTAAGAAATTTTGTCAGACCTTTTTAGAATAAATTTAAATTTATTATTAACATTTTCCATAACATTTACTCAAATCAATACATCTAAAGCATCAAGCCATAAGAAATGCATTGAAAAATGTATTATCTAAATAATAACAATAATAAAAAAGCACATCTTGACCTCAGCTCCGCCCCTTTAGTTTAGTGATACAACTTCATCCTTAAAGCTGCAGTGTTCATCTGAGGCTCTCAGTTAACTAACTTAAAATCTGACCCCTCTCCCCAGGCCACTAACAGACGGTGCCCCCCTCTTTTCCTGCTGTCCTTATTGATTTTGACCTTGAAACGCGCAGTCCTGTTTTTGCTCTTTCTGGATGGCTGACCTCTTAAATCGACCCCTTATGTAAAGTCATTAGGAACAAAGAGATCAAGCCGTTATTGCTCTGTGTTTAGTCATTAATGCTGTACACAAGTTGTCTTTGTGCCTTTGACAAAAACCAGTTTCTCAACTGTCGCCTTATCAGTTTTATCATGACTGAGTCTCTCCAAAGTTGACGGGTTCACCCTCTTTATCTGTTTGTTTTAGTTGTTGGACCGTTTAAAATCAAACATCGGTATTGCCAGAAGGTGATATATAGTTGGGCAGCTGGCAGAGTGTGCCATTTATACAGGAATAAGAGCTGGCCTTTCTGTTATTTTTTGTGAACTATGCAAAGAACTATGCCAGTGTAAAGAGATTAGTTGTGGTGTGTTAGTCACTTTCTGGCAGGTTTGCTTGGTCTGGACGTGTTGGTGTCATGTGTAGTCAAACGAAAACCTGTCTGACACAACTGGTTTTGTGAGCGCAGGATTTGAGTGGTTTAAACCTGCTTAAAGGGATAGTTCACACACAAATCAAAGATCTGTCATCATTTATTAACCCTCCACTTGTTCCAAACCTGTTTGAGCTTCTTTTTTGTGTTGAACACAAAAGAGGATATGTTGAAAACATTTCACAACTTGCAGTCATTTTTGTCTTTTATTATTATTATTATTTTTTTTGATCATGCTTTTTATTTTAAGGTACAATCCTCGCTATTAACAAACCAATAAGACTTTTAGCTCAATAAACTACTAATTTGCTGATAGTTTAATAGTTAGTAAATGGTAGGCATTTGGTAGGATTGAGGATGTAGAATATGAGGTTTTCTTTGAGTATGTTGATGTACTTCTAACTGAAATGTACGGAGACCCAGAAGGGACATGATGGTGGGGAGAAAAATGGGTGAAAGAGAAAAAACTAAGTGGGAGAAAAAAAAATGCATGGGAAAAAAAACAGTAATAGGAAAATATATATATTTTAAAGTTTTTGCGTTCCCTCGCAGAGATGTTTTGTGTTATCTCGCAAAACTGTTATTCCACAAACACTTCCTGTTCCCTTCATACATGTCAATCCTTCCATTTTTGCCGGGATTCTTTTGTATTTTACCATTCAATCCCACTATCATTCTATCATTAAGTATTTTCCCATATTTCTTGTGTATTTTTAATCTTGAAAGCACGCTGAAATTAATATAAAAACGTCTGCATTCACTTTCTTTCCATTAAAGCTGTGCGCCGATCATTACCCTTCAAATGCAACCTCTGAATCAGCAAATGCATGTATACGGACCCGTTCCGTATGATAAACCGATCCCAGATCCGCTAAAGTGCAGAACACTTTGGGATTCGGGTGTGCGTTTAAACAGACAAATACACTTAATAATATGTAAACATGTCAGTCCTGAATGCAGATACTCCTTTTACCACAGTAAAGCTCAAAGTGTCTGTAGCTTACTGGAGTCAGGAACAGTGGCATAGCGGATGGGCCCGCAGGGGGGGGGGGGGGCGGGGGGGGGGCGTGATTAGGAGGCCCCGCGTCGTCGCGATTTTTAATAATTGAAAATCAACCGGCAACCGCAATAATCCAACTCTTGGGAACAACTGTGGTCGGAACCAAAGTTTACAGGTCTGTGTTCTCTAAACACCTCTCAAGCAGTGGACTACTTCATTCTGATTGCTTGCCGCTGAACCGAGTCATATCGTAGCTCAAAATTGACTTGATTTTAACTCTCCTTGACGCTTACACTGGAGAAGACGCTCCGCGCTGTTTCTCGCCGCCGGTTCTCATTGACGCTCTCGCCGCTTTCGGTTTGTGATCGCTCCTCAGTTTGTGAAGGCTTCCT